TTTGCTGAAAAAAATTGAAACAATATTTTTTTTCAAAATAATATTTTTTTTAATTTTCAAAGTTTTTTTTTTAATTAAAAAAATTAACTAATTTGGTTTTTATTTTGGATATGGATGTCCAAATTATGGATTTGGTTAAAACCATATTAAAAATATATCCAAAATATGGATTTGATTAAAACCATACTAATAATTAACCGGATTTTAATAACTGGATTTGGATATGGATATGGATTATTTAAATAACCGGTTTATTTGAGCACCCCTATTTGGAGGTGCTAAGAAGGTGAAAGAGGTGAGGTTACAAATTCACAAAAGAATGTATGAATTACTTCAGATGGAAGAACGTGAAAGCGTATTTGATTTCTTCACTATGGATAAGAAAGTGGTGAATTAAATCAAGGTATGTGGAGAATGTTGACATCAAGATCAGTTGTTGCAAAGATCTTGAGGTCATTGACTCTGAAATTCGATCACGTGGTAGTAGCCATAGAAGAATCAAAATACTTGTCAACATTGGCAAAGGAAGAGGTTCAAGAAACGTTTGAATCTCATGAATAAAGAATGACTGAAAGAGCTGCAAGCAAGTCGAAGAGTGATGTGACTTTGCAAGCACAATTGACAAAAGAAAAGAAAGGAACGGGAAAGTGGTTCGACAACAAAGTTAAACGAGGCTACAACAGTTTGATTAGTAGAGGAAACGAACAAGAAGGAAATTTGTCGAATCAAAGAAGACCCTCATATCAAAGCAACCATAGAGGTGGTGTTGTAGGTAGAGAAAAAGGTCGTGGACGAAAACCTGACAAAAGTCGCATTCAGTGTTTCAATTGTCAGAAGTATTATCACTACTCTAGTGATTATCCTGTAAAACAAAAGAATCAATAAAATGATGCAAAACTTGCAAAGCATGAAGAAGAAGAAGAGATGTTATGGATGTCACAACAAGAGTTGAAGAAAGATTCAAGGAGCAATGATACTTAGACTTAGGATACTCATCACACATGACTGGTAGTAAAGATTGGTTTGTCAACATAAAATCCTCGATGAATAGGATGGTGAAATTTTCAAATGACGATACTCTAACAGCTGAAGGTATTGGCGATGTTCTGATTATAAGGAAATATGGAAAAAAAGGTCAGTAATTTCTAATGTAATGTATATACTAGGCATGAAAAGTAGTTTGTTCAGCATATGGCAATTAGTCGAAAAGAATTACAAACTGTCGATTGAAGATAAGATGATAAGAGTTCTTAACTCAGGTGGAATGTTAATCTTGAAGGCTCTCATGTCTCATAATAGAACCTTCAAGGTTGAACCTAATGTGATGGAGCACAAGTGTCTTACAACTGCAGTTAGCAGAGACGAATGGATATGACACTATAGACATGGTTTCATGGTTATCAAAAATTGACATTTCAAATGAATTGTGTGAGAAATGTGTGTAAGAAAAATAGCACAGGAACAACTTCAGCAAGGATTCAGGAAGAAAGTCGAAGGCATTTCTTGAAACTATATACTCTGATGTGTGTGGTCCTATCCATGTGGATTTGAATGAAGGTAACAGATACTTTGTCATACTCATAGATGATTTTAGTTAAAAACTATGGACTTACTCGATCAAGAAGAAAAGTGAAGTTATTAAAGTATTTTCCAAGTTAAAATCTATGGTCGAAAGCTCAAGATTCTGAGGACTAATGGTGGTGGAAAATATGTGTCGAAATAATTCGACACATTATGTGAGAAAGAAGGGATTGTGCATGAGGTGATGCCACCATATTTCAATGTCGCTCAACTTGGTGAACTCTTCCATCCTTTCTAGAAAGTGATCTGACCAAGTTTCAACAACTTTTTTGAAACGTGTCGTCCACGTCGGTGATGTCTTTGGCATATGACATTCCGGTTTTAAATAAACTTGAACAAAATATTGTGTTTTTGAAATCCATCCAATACGCACGATACATCCGGATGGATTTTAAAATGGCCTACTTTGAAGTGGAAAAAATGTTTTTGAGAAACCATATCTTGTCATATCAATACACACACTATCATAAGCACTTGATATAAGATGTCACATTTCAGAGAAGAACATTCGTTTTTCAAACGGTGTCATACCACTAACACAATGAACAAGAGCATTGAGAATTGCATTGTAATTTTCTTTTTTCCCGTATATCAATATGTATGATTCTTTATGCATCGATGGCAGACAAATTAATGGTCTTCCTCTCATTTACCGAGCAAATTCGAAATAACTCGAAAACCACAATTGTCGTCACCTTAAAAATATATAATCTGTTAAATGTATTTGTACATAAAAAGTGGTGTCTCTTCAATGAAAATGATTTTTGGTAACAATGGTGGATGAGATGGTTTGCTAATGCGAGCACCCTTTAAAACACTTATTTGAGATTTTGGAGTTCGAGAACTTAAAAAATGTGAGTCTAGCATGTTCAAAGTATGAAGGAGCTCGTCTCGTAGAGTTGTCATTATGTGTCAGTTTGACCCGTTTAGAGGCACCCTTTGTTTTAACCGGTTATGATGGTGGTCTCAAATCCGTTATTTATAGATAGGTAATATTCCTCAATTGCTCTTTGATGTGAAATTTCATGATGTCATCAGCTTTCGAAAATCTCTCTTAGATTACTTTCTATTCAGTCATAATAATTGTACTTGCTTTATCATTCTTCATCGCACCATCATCATCAAACCAGAGCCTTTTCTAGTGAGAATAAACTTTATCCATATGTATCGGTTTATGAAGCTTCATCTTCTTTGAAGTTAACATGCACATGGAAGACGATACGTCTTCGTAAGTGTACAACCACACTTTGAGCTATTTGAACATGTTTTATCTGCTCGCTTGCCTTCGTGAAAAAATAAAATTCAATCTCGTCTGAGATATGTTGTCAACCAACTGCGAATAAAGGATATTGTATTTGAATTTGTGTTCTAACACAACAATGTTCCTACCAAAAGATGTTTGTATCTCATTAATTTGGTTTCGAATCATTTGATTCACGAGGTCCCAATCTCGACAAAAATCACCTTTATAATTTCCCAACAAAATTTTCAGTCTAGCATGTGTAGAATCAACTCTTTTAGTTGTTGTATTGTCAAAGTGTCTAGCATTCGATTTAACATCATCCGATTTAGCACCTAGTTTAACATCATCTGGTTCAACATTATCTTTCACTTCATTCGGTTTAACATCCATCCTTACAATAGCTTTATGAAACATATTCGGGTGTATCATGTCTAACATCAATCATAATAGAAAAATTGATTCAAAACTCAAAGTATCATGCAAATCCGGAGACGCGTCTCCGAAACACATGAAACTTAGTCCGGAAATGCATATCCGGACTCTACTTTCATATTTTCAACTAAAACATCACACTAATGCAAGGAATGATGGGTGTAATGAATGAACTTTATCTTAAATTCTAGTTTCTTTTACTCCCTTTGATGTGATAAAATACAAGAATAATGTTTTGGTGTTGAAAAGTTGATTGAGAATGGAAGAAATTTGTTTAATGGTTTTGAAGGTGAAAGTCTCTTTGATCATGAAGGAGAAGAACATGCAAGGTGACGTTTTCACCAATTTTCCATTTGACGTTTTCAGATATGCATCTCCAGAATCATCATTGAGTTGTTAAATAAAACATCTCAATGCATAAAACGTTATAAATGAGTATAAGAGGTGTTACGGAGATACATCTCCAAATACACCTCAAATAATATTCGGAGATGTATCTTCAGATCAAATTTTGATGAAATAGAGTGCGTGACTGAATTACGAGAAGAGATGGTGTGATTTTACATAAGCAACAAGGTCTTTTACATACTATTTAGACTATTTTTTAATAAATGTGCATATATAAATCGACCAATAAAATTTCATAAACTATTTTAACAATCTAAGTCTGATATATTTAATTAAATAGACTTTTTAACAAATACAAACTTAACCTTTTTATTAAATAAATAGAATATGTCAACTGAGAGCAATCTAACTATAGGCTTAGGCCAATTTATCATATTCTCATTTATATGCACAAGTGATAAATTAGACTGACAAAAAAAAACTTTATATATGATTATTGTCAAGCCTTATTATTGGTACAAGTTGTCAAGCCTTTTAGGGAGGAAAAAATTGCATTTTTTTTGCATTGACCTTTAATTGTTTAATATTACTAATAATTATTTTGCCGTAAAAAAAGGAATATTGACACATGCCGAAAATTGAAACTAATTTCGTGTTTCCTACGTAGTAATACTATAGCTAGTTAATCACGTTATACAAGATAATAAAGTTTCAACTTTTAAATTGGACTATAGTGACCAAATCAAATGGTATTTAAATTGTTATTTATACTCATATAGGTATGTTTGTCACACTAACAAAGTACATATGCCATAGTACGGTCGAATTATTAATTTAATTTGCGTCACTAAGGAACTTTGGATTAATAAGTAAAATATATAAATATGGCGGCAAAAATAGCTTATATTTTTTATTCAATAAAATAAAATTGAACACATTCTGATTTAAAGAGCATAGAATGAATGAAAAGGATATTTTTGAAAATTCCATAGAGATTGAGTGCAATGAGCAACCTGAAATAGTTTATATATTTAAAAATGAAATAATAATTTATTTGCATACAAATTGTTGAACTTAGTTTACTACATGATGACATTGCAGAAGCTGGCCGGCGGAGTCTAACAATGCATATAGTTTTTATCATTCTTAGAACAAAGTGTAACAATATTCTCTTTTTTACTACTATATATATTTCTTACATTCTTTAAATTCCATCTCCTCAATTTTTATATTATCATATCATACCTCTCTCTGAGGTAAATTCATTGTAATGTTAATCATCATAATTCTAGTGTTTAGTCTCAATAATTTTGTAATTTTAACAAGTTTTAATTTATAGCTCAAAATTGGAGAGAAGTAGAAAATAAAGAAGCTTCAAGAAAGAGGAAGAGAGAAAATGGTGGAAGGGACTATGTCTCTTGATGCTGTTATAAAGGAAGCTGTTGATTTGGTATGTCAAATAAACCTCCTTAATGATTATTGTCAAACAAACACGATGACATTGATACACCGACGTCAGTTATAATTAAATATAGCGATTGTGAATTTGTGTCAGATACTAAACTTAGAATTTGTTGTATATAGGAGAACATTCCTCTTGAGGAGGTATTTGAAAATCTAAAATGCACAAAAGATGGTTTAACCTCTGAGGAAGTACAAGAGAGGCTTGACATGTTTGGATACAATAAACTTGAAGAGAAAAAGGTTGAAATCCTAACTTAAGTGCTTATATAGTTTCATACCAAATTGCTTATTAGAGACTGATAGTTTATGTTATTTTAATTTCTTATACAGGAAAGTAAAATACTAAAGTTTTTAGGGTTTATGTGGAATCCTTTGTCATGGGTTATGGAAGCTGCTGCTCTCATGGCCATTGCTATGGCACATGGAGGGGTGAGTCTCTTCCTTTTTTTACTTCTTATGTAATTTCTCAATGGTTTTCATTATTTCAAATCTTGTACAAAATTAGAATAACTATATATTTTGTAAATATGAAACTATACTCTTATAACCTTTGGTTAACTTGATTTGAAAGTTACAAAAGGATTATGGAATATATACGAGAAAGATTTTGGTGGTAAAAGTTTATTAAAGTGAAAAGTCGTGTTTGAACTTTCAGTCAGTGTTTTTAAAACCAGACTGTTCAGTTTAACTAGTTAAACTAAAAACCAATTAGTTTGTCTGCTGGTTCAATCAGTCAGTTGAACCAAGTGTATTGAACCATTATCTAGAAGTCTCACCGACTAGATCTTCGGTCCTGGTTTTAAAACAATGGTTTTAATATCAATCGGTTTAATATATCAACGCTTTGATTATGCAGGGAAAACGAGGAGATTATCAAGATTTTGTTGGCATAATTATTTTGCTAATTATAAACTCAACCATAAGTTTCATAGAAGAAAATAATGCTGGTAACGCAGCAGCTGCCCTTATGGCAAGATTGGCTCCAAAAGCAAAGGTTCTTCTTCTTCTTCTCTTACAATCTCTCTGTTATCTTGTCTTGTTCATAGTTTCTTTGATTTCTAATTATATTAGATTAATAGGTTCTTCGTGACGGAAAATGGAGCGAAGAAGATGCTTCGGTATTGGTCCCTGGAGACATAGTTAGCATCAAGCTAGGTGATATCGTTCCTGCCGACGCACGTCTTCTTGAAGGTGATCCTTTAAAAATTGATCAGGTAAAATCTATAAATACTCTGAAATCTCTTATACGTGACTCAAGCTTCACAACTAATAATATTTTTCACAAGTTTATTAATGTTGATATCGGCAACTAGATTTCTTGTAATTCAAGTTATGTTTTTGTTGTTTGTACTTTTAGTCTGCTCTTACCGGAGAGTCACTTCCTGTGACAAAACATCCTGGAGAAGGAGTATATTCTGGTTCAACTTGCAAGCAAGGAGAAATTGAGGCCGTAGTCATAGCAACTGGAGTTCACACATTTTTCGGAAAGGCAGCTCATCTCGTCGAAAATACAACACACGTTGGACATTTCCAAAAGGTTCATAATATACTAAATAATGTATCGCAGACAAAAGCGATTTGTTCAAATTCCACAATACAATAGTGTTATAGCCGCTATTTGACAACACCGGATGTTGTGATAGTAATGCTTATGTTATGACAAATATTATTACAGGTTCTGACCTCTATTGGAAACTTCTGCATCTGTTCAATTGCTATTGGAATGATTATTGAAATCATTGTGATATACGGCGTCCACGGATACGGATACAGAAACGGTATTGATAACCTTCTAGTGCTACTAATTGGAGGAATCCCTATTGCAATGCCAACTGTTCTTTCAGTTACAATGGCTATTGGTTCACATAAGTTATCTCAGCAGGTTTGCAATTAATACATTGATCATTCCAACATTTCAGTAGCTTTTTAAAGATGTTATCAAGATTCGATCATATGCATCTTTGTTGCAGGGTGCCATAACAAAGAGAATGACAGCTATTGAAGAAATGGCTGGAATGGATGTGTTATGTAGTGACAAAACAGGAACATTAACTCTTAACAAACTTACAGTGGACAGGGAAATGATTGAGGTTTTAATCTTATTCTTTCTAAAGATAGAATAGAACATCGCAATTACTTAAGACACAAGTTTCATTTTTTGTCAAAAGTATACAAACAGATAAATCTTAGTATTCGGAAAAACCCGAGTTTGAATTCTGACTGAAACAATCTTTGACCAAGATGTATGTAAACTTTGTGTCCCCTAACAATCACCAATATCTGGCAGGTTTTTGCCAAAGGTGTTGACAAGAATTTGGTTGTACTTATGGCTGCAAGAGCATCGAGGATGGAGAACCAGGATGCAATCGATTGCGCAATCGTTTCAATGTTGGCAGACCCAAAGGAGGTACAAATTCAAAGAAACCTTACAAGTTACATGATTAACAATATTCAGTCTTACTTACTAATTATAGAATTCTTCAAAGTTTATTTGCATCGTGTTGTGTAGTTGAAATTCGGTTAGTCTACTAATAGTCCTTTGGTTTCGCAAGGCACGAGCTGGGATAAAAGAAGTTCATTTCCTTCCGTTTAATCCAACTGATAAAAGAACTGCACTCACATACATTGATGGTGCTGGTATTATGCACAGGGTTAGCAAAGGTGCACCAGAGCAGGTAAAGCATAATTGATTCTCGCTTTTCAAGAACCATGCAACCTACCAGAGTAAATTACGTCTGATCATTGATAAACTTTACTCATATAATGTGTAGATTCTCAATCTCGCACAAAACAAGGCAGAAATTGGACGGAAGGTTCATGCGATGATTGACAAGTTTGCAGAACGTGGACTTCGTTCTCTTGGGATTGCAAGACAGGTTTATTTCCCTCTTATAAATTCTTCATAATCTGATGAGTGAATTACTATCGTGTATATTTTCTTTAGCACCGAAGTATTTTTTTTTTTTTTTTCATATAGGAAGTACCAGAGGGAAGTAAGGAAAGTGCAGGAGGACCATGGGAGTTTGTTGCTCTTCTCCCTCTTTTTGACCCTCCTCGTCATGATAGCGCAGAAACAATCAGAAGAGCTCTTGATCTTGGCGTTAGTGTCAAAATGATCACTGGTATGTATCACAGTATCAACGTCATGTGAAATTGAGTCGCTGATTTAATGATAATGCAAACTATACTCATGCTACAAAAAAACTTTCAGGCGATCAACTTGCAATAGGAAAGGAAACGGGAAGGCGTCTAGGGATGGGGACAAACATGTATCCATCTTCATCACTGCTCGGTGAAAATAAAGATCAATTAGGTGCTGTTTCCATTGATGATCTCATTGAGAAAGCTGACGGTTTTGCTGGTGTCTTTCCTGGTAAGCCAAGCAAGCAGTAATCTGAATACAGAAACTCTAAGTTATGTCTTACTCTTGTTTCTCCAATTCTGACAACACGTATACGTTTACCACAGAGCACAAGTATGAGATTGTAAAGAGGTTACAAGCTCGAAAGCACATTTGCGGGATGACTGGTGATGGAGTGAATGATGCACCTGCCTTAAAGATAGCTGATATAGGTATTGCAGTAGCAGATTCTACAGACGCTGCACGAAGCGCTTCTGATATAGTGCTGACAGAACCTGGTTTAAGTGTTATCATAAGCGCAGTTCTAACTAGCCGTGCAATTTTTCAGAGGATGAAGAACTACACAGTAATCCCAAGACTATAAAAGTTTACATTTCAGTTCTTTCTTAGTGTGACAACAATTCATAATTTTTTTTCTTTTCTTTGCAGATATATGCCGTATCTATCACTATACGTATAGTGGTAAGCTATCTGTGCAAATATATAGACAGTAACTAATTCAGCAATGAACATGACCATTAACATTTTCCTCATTTTCAAATTCTTTATATTTTCAGCTAGGTTTCATGTTGCTCAACAGCTTTTGGAGTTTTGACTTTCCACCATTTATGGTTCTTATCATTGCCATTCTCAATGATGGTAACACTAGCTACTTAGCATCTTAATCTCAAGTCTCATTAGAATTTGATGGTCTATTTCCTTTTCTGTTTCCTTAATTGCTTGCATTTTAATCAATAGGTACCATCATGACAATATCTAAAGATAGGGTTAAGCCTTCTCCACTTCCTGATAGTTGGAAGCTTAGTGAAATTTTTGCAACTGGGGTTATTCTTGGAACCTATCTGGCTCTAATGACAGTGATCTTCTTCTATATAGTTTTTGAAACAAATTTCTTTCCTGTGAGGATCTTCCTTCCACTCTAAGTTAACTATTTTTGTCTTTTTCCCCCTCTTCATGCAATGAATGATAGAAACTTTTTGGTGCAGGACCATTTTGGAGTGAAACACTTCCGCCCCGATCTACACGCTCCTGTCACTGAAGAAATGAAAGCGATGTTGGCTTCTGCTGTTTACCTTCAAGTCAGTACAATTAGTCAAGCCTTAATCTTTGTGACACGGGCCAGGGGATGGTCCTATACAGAAAGACCTGGTCTTTTGCTTGTTTTTGCCTTTGTTATTGCTCAGCTGGTACTGCTTTTTTCTAGCCTTATCAGTGTTCAAATTTGATTACAGAATCAAGTAGATTTTTCTGTGGAAAGCCTCACTTTCTTGTTTTACTGTATTCGTAGGTTGCGACTGTTATATCAGCACAGGCCAATTGGGAAATTGCTGGAATCAGAAGCATAGGTTGGGGCTGGGCAGGAGTCATTTGGTTGTTCAATACTGTAACTTATGTTTTTCTTGATCCTTTAAAGTTTGCCGTTGCTTATCAACAAAGCGGAAGGGCTTGGAATTTGGTCGTAAACCAAAGAGTAAGTACTATGACTGAAATATCATTGGACTAATTACAGTCAGTATTTTTTTAGTTTCCAAGACTCAAAGAATGATAATGAACTGATATGGCTTCTTGTTTGTGTAAATTAACAGACTGCATTTACCAACAAAAATGATTTTGGTAAAGAATCTCGCGAGGCAGCATGGGCTGCTGAGCAGAGAACCTTGCACGGTCTTCGCTCTGTTGAGTTGAAAGGGTTTGCGGAGAAGCACAACCATAGAGAACTGAATACAATGGCTGACGAAGCTAAGAGGCGAGCAGAGTTAGCAAGGTCTCCATTCATCTTCAAACTGTTTCATGATTTTATTTTACTGATTCTTGATTTTCATTTTTCTCTAACCATCGTCATCGTTATCTTCCTCATGATGCAGGTTGAGAGAGCTTCACACTCTGAAAGGAAGAGTGGAATCATTTGCCAAGCTACGGGGGTTGGACATTGATATGAATGGACACTACACTGTTTAAGACATTATGATTATTATCCATCACCACTGTCATGTGACACTTTTTTATATTTATTGTATTATGTCTGTTTCTCGTTTCATATTATAGGCTATACTTCAATAATGTATCTGTTGATTACATTTATTTGTGCTTTTCACACATTGGTTATTGTCCGTTTGTTTTTTCTTCATTTGCTATTATAATTTGTACCTATTTTGTGTTACTACTGAAAATATTATTATTTGCACAAATCACATTTCGAAAATCATAAATCTTTATTTATAAACTTATTCTGAGTGTTGCCAGAAAATATGCAAGGAAAAACTTCTATACAAGAAACCAAAATAATAAACAACACATAGTGCCATTTTTCTTCTATTAGAGCTATAAATATTTGACCAAAACTCTTTCTTCTTGACTTGAGATATGAGAACTACTCTTTCACATAGCACTAGCTCATAAAGTAATTGAACAGAGAGGATCTCTCTGGGCATGTCTTATCCAGTAAGGTCTTCAAATCTACATCTTTTATCTTCCCAAGGATCTCATTTTCAAGAGGCTTGGGCAATTGCTGATGTACATAACATATTTAAGACAGCCTGAGCAAGCAATCTAGATAAGCAGTCGTAAAATGGAAAGTCTAAGGAAAAAGAATTCACATACCACTTTTAACCACAGTATGTAACTAGCAGAATGTGTGGCTTGGGCTTGGAAATCCCCATAATCATCATCAACAAAAGTTGAGGCGTGAAATAGACTTAATTCCTTCTGCAGAAAGGAGCCAAAGTCATGATGATACATGCTTGTTGCCTCCTTGGAATGGTAGGATCCGTCATTAGAGTTAGTTAGGAAACTATTTATCCAGCATGAGGAAAGAAAGCGGCGATGAAGCCATAGAGCCTGTTTAAAATGAACACATTAACCATCTAAGGCAATTTACTAAGTAGAAAAAACATATTGCACTAGAGGGAACCATAAATGCAATTGTGGCTTGCATATAGACATGGGACGAGACCCTTTAAACTGAAAGAAAGATGAAGCACATGCACATGTATGTTGTATGAGTAGAATGATTTTCTAGGAAGTAGGGTAAATTAGTAATCATGCAAATAGTACAAAATTTCCAAAGAGGTCCAACAGCAGTACAAAGCAATCTCAATATAAAAGTTGAAACAGTTCAATAAGTTATCACCTCTTGAAACTTAAATTTATGTTTTTGGTCCCTCTATTTTTATAACCTTAAATAAAAAAGATCCCCGAGTTTGAACTTTCATGTTGACTTCTATAGCATTTTTGTTTGAGAAACATTGATCTTATTTTCTTGCTGCACTCTCATAGTTGTATGGTAGAATTTTCCTTTGCCTTTAAACTTGTTTGGTACTTTTTATCTCAATACCTAAAGCATTCATTCATTTCATCCACCTTGTTTGGGGTCCTATCCTATGATTAACATTTTCCTTTATCCCATCGTTTTGTTTAGGGTAAAACATTTTCCTTTACCCTAAGCTATTATTTGTGTGTTTATTACTAAACTTGCATTAGATATACTTTGTTTTACTCCTAATTAGGCAGAAACCATGTGTTTTCTGAGACTTGTATCTAAACTTCTAACTTTCCACTTATCTATGCTCTCAATTCTCTAACTCAATTGCAACCAAGATAAAAAGGGATCAAAGTTGACCTATACTTATAGAGAAGTATTCTGTATATATAAAACTAGTATTTGAATTGGATATTTTATAGACACACAGGTCCCATACAACAATTTCATGAAAGTCCTGCAGATAATGAACTCCATGAATTAAAAAATCCATAGATAATGAATGAATATATCATTTATAATGGCTCCAGCCTACCCATATATCATTTTAGCCTACTATTGATGGAGGTAAATGATAAATTAGTAATTATTAGTAATTAATAATAATCATACACTGAAGACCAACCTCTCTTCCGACATAACGCTTTATCAATGTTTCATTCCATTCAAGTTCATCCTGAAAAATCACAACTGTCACATAATTACAAGAACTAAAATTATGAATACTAATAATACCTATACAAGGTTGCAAAATTCATCAATATGATACAGTAAGAGTATAATAAATCAGTAGAGTTCTTATTTCCCTTTCTAAGTATCTGCAAAGGAGACACATGATACAACTATCAAGACTATAACTTAAAGTAGAAAGCAAAGCAAGTAAGCAATAACAAAGAGTATACAACTTCACAACCATTACCTTCATTGCTTGGACAATATCAGCATTATGACCATAAGATGCAGTTTCTTCCGCAAAACTTTGGTCTTCAATAATCTTTTGCAGGAGCCGCTGCAATATGATGGAATCTATGATTGTCGAGAAAGCTAAATCTCAAGCATATCAAAGAACGTGGTAACTCAGATTGTCGTGGAAACTATAACCACCAGTATCAGGTTCAAACAACTAAATCAAAACTTACTCGGCGATAATGAAAGCAACAATTATCAGAAACATGCAGTGCAGCCCAACTTCTGGATTTCCTCATCTCAGATAGCACCTAAATAAGAACATCTATAATTTAGACTTCATGAGAAACATTAATCAAATCAATGTAAATTCATATTTCATTTAGAATGAATAAGAATTTTACATAATAATTTGACTGAACTTCGTTTTTATTTTCACTATAATTTTATACAATTCCTAATGAAAAATAATTTTCACTCTTTTTGGTTAAATAGGTTCCCTTAGCTCGATTTTTGCCAACCAAAGTTACTGGTCAGATAGGGGTAAGCTGGGGTCAATCCAACACAATGTCATTGGACCTAAGAAAACACAATTTGACCTCAATAAAAGATTTTGAAGTTTGAACTGAACAAGTCAATCCACAAGGGCTGAGCTATTTTTTTCACACATTTGGTGAAAGGGGTCAGGAATGTGGATTACATCATTTTTTACTTTATTTTATGAAATATCCATTCCATTAATTATAGGAATGGTCATACTCATTTAAAGGACTAACCAAGGAACCGGAAAATGTATCCATTCTATCCAACCAAATATGGGCTAGTAATAAGTCAATGTGCCAAATGGCTCCAACAACTAAGGTAAACCAACAATTATACAAGACTAAATGCAATAAATTTAAAAATAAAGAAAAAGATATAACTATGTTATTACACTGAAGAATTTTTACGAATTTAAGACTGCATGCAAAACCTTTTCAGAACTCATTGCTAGTGGATGTCATGATTTTTCAATGTAATTTAATCCAGAATTATGCCGTGATACACAAGTTATAATTTGCAAAAATAAGAATGCCATAGAATCAATACCTGTTCTTTAGTCATGTATGAGATTAACCAGCACCGGTGATTCCATGCACGATAGTTCATCTTTGATCTCTGAAAATGAAAGGAGTAAAAACGAGGAATATTGGGCGTTTAACTCAAAATATGTTGGTTTGTTTATGTAATCCCTAATCTATATGACAAAAAGGTGAAACATTGCATAAGTCAAGTAAATTCGTCTTTTATCCTTCACTTGGGTATGAAAACCAATCAACTAGACGAACATTAGAAAATGTCTCCAATTTAAATAATATGACTGAATTTAGACCTCAGCTATTTTTTCCACCAGCTCAGATTCTTTTGCCAAAATCTCTTTGAAATTTGAACAGTTTGCAGAGATTGACTTGATCACCCATCGCCTAGATAAAATACTTTTATGCATTAGATACTTATTAATGTTTTGAAACCTTAGGATCAATTAGTATTCAAAATGGTTGTCTAATGAAAATTCAGTATTAAAAATCCAATCATATATAGTACTCCTTGAAAATATCTATCTTTTTGTGAATTGCGACGGGGACAAAGCCATAAGAGGAAACTGCTACATATACCTATGACTCCAAGCTTGTTCACTTTTGGCTGAGTATGAGAGCACAAGTTCTGATAGTAGAAGTTCATCTACAAACATTGAGACCTGCTTCTTCTTGGACACTAATATCTTTCTGCAATATGCAGACAGAAAAGAGGTTTCTATCAAATATCAAATTGCTAGTAATTTTCTCCATTTTCATATGTTTTCTTGCCTTACAATTCTAGAATCTCATTTTAAAGATATTTATGCTCTCAGAGTAATAAAAAAAACATAATATCAAGTTAAACTAAACTCAACTGCTTTAATGATGTTTTTAAACAAAATAAAAAAGTTATAAAACCACAACATCTCCAAACAAATTACACTAATGATTTCTTAAGCAAAGAAAAGCATCATATAACCTCAATTAAAGAAAATTCCAGAGATATTTTATTCGCTTCTGACACCATAATCATTAGAATTTACTATTGCTTTCACGTACTAAACCAGAATTTGCAATATATATTGAAATATATGTATTGGGGTACAGAAAGAGATGGGAGAGAAAGGCATAAGATAACAATTGAAAGAGATTAGGAAGTTTGAGAGCATGTCAAAAGATTGAAAGAGAAGTAATTTAATACCTAAGAACAAAGGTGACGTATAACTATTCTAATCATACACGGATTAATCTCGTACTCTAATTATACAAGGATTAACCTCATGAGTCATAGTACGAAACTTTAAGAAAATGATTGAGCATATTAAGACAAAAAACCGACATCGTAGAAAATCAATTTGCTTTTGTGCTAGAGAGATTAACTCTTGAAGCCATATATTTGCCACAAAGACCGATGGAATTATAACATAGAATTCAAAAAAGCCTAGACATGGTTTTCATGAATCTGAAAAATATATATGATTGAGTACCTAGAGAGATTTTGTAGAAAGTTCTAGATAAGAAAGGAGTTCTGATTGCATGTATTAGGCATCAAAGATATGTATGATTGTGTTGTATTAGGTTTCCATATTGGGGTTCAACTCTTCAGTGTGGGACTTGAGTTCAACTCTTTATATTGAGTTCAACTCTTTATATTGGGTCCAACTTTTACAAAACCTGCTTGGAATGTGAGGGGTGTCACTCTTTATAAACTCATTTCAAGCCTTATCTTTTTTCTA